ATAATAATAGTAATAATAATAATAATAATAAATGAAGTATTAAAACACCTCTTTAAAGTAAAGACCAACGTGCTTTGAAGAAAATTGAGTGCTGTCATCATCACTGAAGTTCAATTATAAGCAGTTACTACCTGAGGTGGGCTAATTGGGGCAATATGTAGTACCAGTCGCTATTAAATATTTAAGTTTTAATAATGCTTTATAAAATATGAGCAATCAAATGTGCTCGCAGAATATGAAGATAGAAATCAGATGTGATGGAATATATTGTGGTTTTCTCTGCATTATAGTCTAAACATTGGAGAGAAAATGACTTGTTTCAGTTTTTGTACTGGATTTAAGATGAGCTCTCAGGAAGAAGTTCTTCCCTGTGAGAGTGCTGGCACAGGGTGCCCAGAGAAGCTGTGGCTGCCCCATCCCTGGTAGTGTTCAAGGCCAGGTTGGACACAGGGGCTTGGGGGAACCTGCCCTTAGGGGAGGGGGGCTGGAAGGTGTCCCTGCCCGTGGCTGGGGATTGGAGCTGGATAAGCTTTAAGATCTCTTCCAACACAAACTGTTCCATGATGCTATGATTTAGTTCTTATGGTTTTGTATGCTTGCAGTGTAATCAGATTGTAATAGTTCATTGTATTGAAGTTTGAGTAGAAATTGTTTATTCCAAATAAATCAGTCCCTCTGGCTTGATTCCAGGGCTAAGGTATAATTTTGGGTAGATAAGGTAAGCTCTTTCTGGTGGGACTTAACCTGGTATATCTTACATCACCTTTGACATATGTGGTCCCAGGTGGACACATCAGTAGTGTGAAGTGGTCTAACCTGCTTCAGGAAAGTGTTTCAATTCCAGACGTGTTTCACATCAAATTGCCTGGATAGTGTATGAGAAATCAAGTTAAAGGAGCTGAGTATTCACTGAGAAATTGAGCAAACATGACACAAGCATTACAAAGGGTAAAAACTTTTGAAGGAGGAGGAAAATGTTACTGTTTTCAAAGAGTCGTTTGCTTAATGTAGTGGAGAGCTCTGAACATTTAGCCTGAAATCAGTGCTGTGCTTATGCTCTTTGTCACAGAACAGAAGCCTCTTTTATGTTCATGACCTTTCACTGTAATTGCATTAGGGAAATAACTGCAGTTTATACTTTACTAGAAGTTCTTCACTGATGCTAATACTTCAGTTTGCAGAAGTGACCAAACCCATGTGGTGCCATTTGGAGGTTTGGGGTCACACACAGACACAGCATTCATTTAACTTCAGAAGATTTTGCTTTCAGTGAAAACCTTTCCTCATGTTGGCTTAGATTGTCTTTTTTAACATTCATTAAACCCTGTGTGAGGAGTTTTTGACAAAGAAAGACAATCTGTTTTAACTGAAACTTACTCAACCAAGTGTGTTATATTATCAATTACATTTTCCCCTTGGCTTGCAGGAGATGGTTCACTTTTTTGTCACCCTAATAGCTGAGAGGAGAATTCAGAGACAATGTCTTATTTGACTGTGTCCCAGCTTAAATGTTTTACTCCTGACCACAGGATTTCATTTGGCTCTACTGAAAAGTTATGGATGTTGTATGAAATCATAACTGTTGAATAAGTAGGCTTGACCTGAATGAGGAGAAACCCAGTTCTATACACTCTAAAACGTTTGATTGTTTCACTTTTCCAGTATCTGTAGCTCCACATCTAGTTTTACGCTCTATGACTACATAAAAAAGCAAACCCTTTATTATATGGTCTTTATTTTGGGACTTCTTTGTTGGGGAAGTCAGTTGAACTGATTTTTGTCCATGTGATTGATTCCTTTTGACACATGTGGTACCAATTAGAATAACTTCCACTGCCCATCATCTCGTCAGTCTGCGCTACTGTATCAAAATACTTGATTAAACCCACCTTCTGCTGTTGTAATGCAAAACAGTCGGTAATAGTAGGCAATATTGTCAGATTTATGGAGTGAGAAGCAGCCTTCTGAAGATCTGGCAATGCAGTGAAAAACCTGACTAGATGGATAATTAAGTTGAGCACAGTGGAATTCGGGATTAAAGTAAACTTGACGTGGGAGAAAATGGCATGCCAAAGTTGGTTGTGTAATACAGTTGAAATTAGGAGATCATTTTCTTCTTAATTTGAAGCATCAGGTTTTGGCTCTAGGTGCTTTACCCTGTCTGGAGACATACTTCACTGCACATCCAAACCCACAGTGGACAACAATAGCGTGTTTCTTAGGGGGTTTGCAGAAGATACTCTGATGTGGGCTGACAAAGGAGTTCCACAGATTTGCTTGCAACACAGTTCCAGGTGCTTGGATAAAAGGTGTTTTGTTGGCCGTCAAGAGTGAAGCTCAGAGTAAAATGATCAGTTCTTTGTAGAAATGCTTTTCTTGAGCAACTTCAATGGCCACTGAGAAACTGATTTTCCAGTACTTGGGGGAATGAGGGAGAGAAACAGCAAGGTCTTTGCTGTGACAGGAAGCGTCAGAAGAGCCAGGCAGCCACAGCCTGCCTTGGGAACAACCAGCACAGTGAACAGTCTACATTCCACCTTTCTGCACTAGGGCTTTTTCTCTTGTTGGAGAGTAAGGAGGCCAAAGAGTATCTGCAGAACTTGTTTGCATGTAATAAGAACTTGATGAATTGCATTGTTTTGTCAGGTCAATACTATAAGTGATAGATGGCAGAGGCTATTTGCACATTCCTGTTTGGGAGGGTGCTGAGGCGTTGGAAGGTGTCCCTACCTATGGCAGGGGGTTGGAACTGGATGAGCTTTAAGGTCCCTTCCAACACAAACCAGTCTGGGATTCCATGATATGTAGAGTTTACCCATCATGAATACAGCAAAGGTCACAAATGTGAAGTAGTATTGCTTTACCTGCTACTCAAAATTCCTATTTTCCCTTTTCTAAGCACAGACAGCAGGTGTAATTTCATGCAGTATTTACTTCTGTGTTAATATTCTTCTCAAATCAGTTTTTGTACTGAGAGTCTGCCTGTCAGACAGTTACATCCCTCTTTATTCTTTTTGCTCAGGCAGAGAATGCACCAAATGGACCAGAATGTGGCTATGGTTCTTTCCACCAGCAGTATTGGCTGGATGGGAAGATAATTGCTGTTGGTGTTGTTGATATCCTGCCCTACTGTGTGTCCTCTGTCTACCTGTACTATGATCCAGACTATTCTTTCTTATCTTTGGGAGTCTACTCTGCATTACGGTAAGAGGACGTTTTTGTTATCGAATAGTAAGAATCGATACTTGTTCCTCAACTTGAGCTTTTATTTCCAGACTGAACCCTGGTAACAGTAAAGTATTTGTGGTTTATTTTTGTTTACTTATTTTGTATTAATTCTCTCTGGTTGTATTCCAAATACATTTGTAATTGCCATCCTTGAACAGGGATATGTCTTTCTAGTTAGCTAAATACTTTTGCAGATTAAGAAAACACTCAGAAATAAAATACCCAGTTTTTATTGCCCCTCAAATTTTTTCAGGAAAAGCCCCTTTTTTGTTTGAATAGAAATAATTTTCCCTGTGACCTTTTGCTTAGCCTAGTCACCAAATGAAATAAATCACTTTTATAGTTTTATGCACATTGAGATCATAAATAAGAGAGTACCTAAAACCCGTTGTCTTCTGAATTAGTAGTCTCCTGCTGTACTAGCACTAGTACTTTCAGGTATGTTAATCTCATTATCTTTGTCTTCAGGAAGCCTGATGAGACAAAGTAATCCTGTGAATGTTAAAGCCTTACATTAACTATCAATCTAGTCTTGCAAAACAGTGGGAGTTCTAGGTAATGCTTTTCACTGTGAAGAAAACTTGTCGGCTAAATTGAAGGTTCCCATTTGTCTTCCATGAGCAATTTTATGATTTCATTATTATTACAAGGAAAAAAAAAACCCAAAACCATAAAGAGTGGAAGTATTGATGCATCTCCAGTGGTCTCTGTCTAAAAGACACTGAATTGTCGCTTTTCTGAGGCATTCAGTGGCAATTTAATAAAATTAATCAAAATTAATAAATGTACATGAAATGTTGGAGCTCCTGTGAGTTAGAATTGATTTTTTTTCTATCAGTGGTTTAGATTTTTAGAAGTATTTTATTAGATACGTTAGATATTTTTATTACATGAGCTGGATATTATTGCCTACAAGAAACCTGGAGAGGGGCTTTGGACAAGGGCCTGTAGGGACAGGCCAAGGGGAATGGCTTTAACCTGCCAGAGGGGAGATTGAGATGAGCTCTGAGGCAGAAGCTCTTCCCTGGGAGGGTGCTGAGGCGCTGGCACAGGGTGCCCAGAGAAGCTGTGGCTGCCCCATCCCTGGCAGTGTTCAAGGCCAGGTTGGACACAGGCGCTTGGAGCAACCTGCTCTAGTGGAAGGTGTCCCTGCCCGTGGCAGGGGGTTGGGACTGGATGAGTTTTAAGTTCCCTTCCCACCAAACCAGTCTGGGATGCTGTGATATTTGAAATTAGACTGATTATTATGTTTTCCATGCAAGAAGAGCATATAACATAAAATACCAAGTCCTCGTAAGAGCTGGTTTTCAGTATTTGCACATATCACATTACTTTAGGTAATAATAGACTGACATAATCCCTGCTTATGAATTCTTGAAATGATTTTGATTTTTAGACGTAATAAATTGGAAACTTTGTGGGTGCAACATGTGTGAATGGCTCATCTAGAGAAAAAGCAGCTTATAAATTCTGCAGTATTTAAGGCAATAAAAGTGAGTTCCCAGCAGTCTTAGGGGGAGGCAGTCTTGTTCTTCCTTCAAAAAGTGGAAAAAAACTGGAGAGTTAGGAAGGATTTAGGAAGTTGCAGAGGAATCTGATACCTTCAAAGCTGTTGCCAATTTTACTCTGAGGAGGTTAAACTGCATTGCAGCGCTGTCACTTCCACTTCATGCTGCTTTTGAGAGTTTTTGCTGCTGAGTCGTGGAAAGTATGGGATTTGTGGATCATTTTGAACTATGTAGGCATGTAAGTGAAGAACGAGGGGAGAAGAAGCTACTTGTGAAATACCAGACTTACCAAAGGCAAAGCAATCTTCAAGAAATATTGAGTGGTTCTTACTCTTCTTTGCATGAAGAAGTTAAACCTTCCCCTTGCTACCTGAAATCATGAATTGTAGACAAGCGTAGTATTCATCACCTCTAGTCAGCAGAAGGACAAATACTTGAACTTCTTTTGCAGTTGGGTTATGTAGCACTGAAATACTGTCTGAATTTTGTATTGATGAAATGAATACAGCTTCCTCCCTAGCTGATAACTCTTGCCAAGCGCTAACAGCCATCATAACTCTTTAGATATGCACCATAACCTAAAGCTTTGCAAAAAGAGTAATTGCAAGTCTGTAGTCTCTTTTCCATAGGAAAGATTTAGGCAGAAAGAACACAGGTAGATGTGTGTTATGCCACACAGTGACACCTCATTACTGCCCCTGCTGAAAAATAGAACCATACAATCCCAGACTGGTTTGTGTTGGAAGGGACATAAAAGCTCCTCCAGCCCCAACCCCTGCCACAGGCAAGGACACCTTCCACTAGAGCAGGTTGCTCCAAGCCCACTGCCAGGGATGAGGCAGCCACAGCTTCTCTGGGCACCCTCTGCCAGCGCCTCAGCACCCTCACAGGGAAGAGCTTCTGCCTAATGTCTAACCTGAACTTCCCCTGTTTCAATTTAAATCCATTGCACCTTGTCCTATCGCTACAGTCCCTGATGACGAGTTCCTCTCTGGCATCCTTATGAGATACATATATATATATATCTATATATATATATCTCATAAGAGATATATATAACTTAAACTTTGCCTGGAGTGGGGTTGGCTGAATAGATAAATGAAAGATAAAGTGAGAACTTGAGTTAAGGGTCCTTACCTAGAGCCTATCACAAAGGCTGCAGCACATGCAAAACCCCTGGCAGTAGTTCTAAGCCAGCTTTGGTATCACATGCCCTGATGTGCTGGCACAAAGCTTTGTTGCCCTTGGTAAGACTTGTTGCTGCAGCCCAATTTTTACCTTGTTACATTATGGTCTACTTCACTTTCTGTTCACTTGGAGTCTTTTTGTTTTATTAGATCAGATACTGTATAGTCCAATGGGAA